TTTCGTTCATTGCGGAAGCAAGGAAGGAGAGAACGAATGATAAAGGGAAAAAGTGGAAGAAAAACTAGGGGGAGGTTTGTGCTCGACGTTTGTGCGCGCGTTCGTTTGATATACAGCTAATTGGAGATTGGAATCTCCGAATGTGCGACTTTTTTCGGTCGCAGCGCTTACAAAGTTCGCAGATAAAGCGTACGCGATACGAGCGCATCGCATCCTCGCATTCGCTAACGTATGTGAGATTGGACACACCTGTAGTATTCGCATAAAACACGTTCGTTTCGGGGAAAACCTTCTATGTTATATCTGTGAACGAATGCGAAGCAAAGAGACTAAACTAAACTAAAACTATAGCATTATTCTGTTATTAGAATAAATTTATCTTAAATGGTCTTGTATTATATTTGGATCATATAATTATAGAGTATATATCAACATAGGAATAATAAGTCAATCCCGGTATTAGTTATTGCTCCCCGATCGAGATATGAAATGATACATTATCTATATGACATAGTAACTTGGAAAGGCAAAGTTTAGATAGATCGGACTCAATCGAAACTTTAAATCCTTTCATAATTCCTTATTATTGACTGTATACTTAAAAAGAGGAAACTCTCTTAGACGTTATAGTCGGTTGGGAAAATATGCGCGCTTGCGAACTCTTTAATTATATCGTGTCCAAGCAATAAGCGAATTCAGTGTAGGTACCAACGTACCAACGTACCAACGTACCAGCGTAAAGTGGGACCGTATAGCAACAAGAGTAGTACATAAGCCATTTATCCGATTATAACCGTGGTCTAACTCTCGAGCGATTCTCAGAGCCACTACTAATGCTACTAGTGCACTTGCAAACTAGTGCGTTAGAGAGATGCATCTTTAGGATGCACATTCGTCGGCGCTAAATTACGTATGCTACCCTGACGCAATCCTTCTAGAGAAGAGAAATATTGTAGTTTAAAGATAAAACATAATCGTATCTTTCATTGTAAAAAAGTACATATACATTAATATCTTCTCAAATGTAGATAGTATATATAGATAGATACGTAAGTTAAGAATTTGATCTGGTTACCAAGCAAACTGGCAATAAGGTCGAAACTCTCTGCAATTCGTCGAGTCAACGAAGCGTTCTGTAAAACGTAATCGGGTTATTATATTTTTCATATTTTATTATACTAGCGTATAGGAATATATTTCGCCCGTAGAGTAAAGCTCTCACTGTAACATTCCACGTGAAAGCTCTAGATTCGCTTTTCGTTCATTCAACGCGATGGACGTCGTTCGCTTCGTTTGCAATACTCCTCGTTACAAACGCTCACGGATTACTACTAAATGGAATCCTCCAAACGAACTGTTGCATTCGTATTTTATCAATTTATAGTATTTTCAATAATAATCGGCTCTTAGAAAAAAAAAAATCAATTATTCATATTGTAATTTGTATTTGTCTTTGAAATCTACTCGTATGTATACGATGCTTATTACGCGCGAGCCTTTTTCCTTTATATTTTTTTCTTCAACCAGATTTTCCGAAGCACTAGATAAGCACTAAAATTTTTTTCCATCAGCCTAGACGAGATTGTCAAACGAGAACGTTTTTCTCACCCGTGTGCAAGCCCAAGTAATCGATAAAAAGAAGAAAATTTATGATCTCTTATTTTGTTTTAAATGTAAACTACGAAATTTTATATTTAAATGCAATTTGTAGGATATTTAATAAACTAAAGTATATCGTTGCTATGCATAGGTTAATGCATTAATAATGCAATGATGTATAATTTATAGAAATTATTTTCATTAGCTCTAACAATAAGATCCAATTATTTTATTCGATTAACTAAATAAATCTGATATAGCATACATTTTAAAAAATAATTTTATCGTAATTAAAAGCATTTACTTCAATAAATTACTGAATATTAATTGCATAGGAGTACTGGATATACGCGTAAATATCGTTGCGAATTGAGGAAAGTGAAATAAAACCGCGCGTTAACGTCAGTAAACATTAACAAACTAATACCAATGTCTCATTAAAACGTAAACATTTTAGAAAAAAGTTCAATGAAAATACTGATTAATTAGGGAGAGCATCTTTACTAAAAGAGGATATAACACATTACAAGCAATAAGTTAAAGAAAATGTAAAACAAAAAATATATGATACCTATAATAAGAGCTCATCTAAACACGTCTGGTCGGAAGCTAAGAAGAACGACGACTGAGAAGGGAAGGGAAGGGAAGGGAAGGTAGGTAGAGGTTAAACTTATCGAAACAACGGTTTCTCGGTCATCATTTAATGTTTTGTTTGTATTGTACATGCGTAAACCCTCAAGTGCAACATGTGTAAAAGAAGGAGAAAGAAAAAAAAGGAAGATAGATAAATAGCGAGCGAGGGTGCTATTAATGAGGAAGGAAATTTATATGAGAAAAAGTTAGAGCTGCCAGTAGAGACAAGTTAAAACGGAAAAGAAAATATTTGTGTGAAAGAAAAACGTAGGCTCTCTTTGGGTGTGCTTACGTTACAATAAGTAGCACCAGTGCACGCTTCGTATGAAAAGCTCGACGGGTAAGAAAACTAGGTCGAAGGAGAAGTGGGTATGAGAAGAGAAGGAAAGAGGACCAGAGGGCTCCAAAGTCTGAGATGATGGATGAGAGAACATACGAGGTGAGAGGAGATTCCTAGGTGAAAAATAATGCGATTCTCGCGTGTAGGACGGAGGATGAGTGGAGAAACGGGAATGCTTAACGTAGAGATGAAAAACGAAAGACGGAGGAGAAAGGAAGGGAGAAACGAGATAAAAAAGATAAAAAAAAAAGATGGAAAGTGTTCCCGGCATTTCTATAATACTTCGTTTCTGGAAATGACGATTTGTCAGAGACACGTGTATTTCTTGAAAGATAGGAGAACACGAGACACGCGAACAGTTACTCTTCTCGAGAGCGGTAAGAGGAGTAAGAAAAGATTTAACACGTTGTTGTCGTTTCTTTGACAACAATCCTACATTCAAATCCACGAATTAACAATTGAAAATAATTTCATAAATATGAATATTCTAAACATAAAAGGTATATATGCGTATGTACATATTTCTTATTCCAACGAATAAGTCGAGTCATTTTATGAGCGACTCGCATAAATACTCGTTAATCAGTAGAATTTTAGTCAAATTCTTTGAAAAGAAGATTGAAAAGTTAACTAACTAGGAAAGAGAGGTGGTAGAATGAGAGATTAGTGAGAAGGAAAGGGAATAGCAAATAACGGCCGACGGGGGGAGTAGCGGCGGATGAGTAGTGGCGCGTCCAGGAAACAAGTAGCCACTGATTACGACGATGACAAATGGCAACGTGGGAATTACAAAATGAAGGTTTAATAAGGTATGAACCGGATCAGCAGGCATAGGCTACCCACTGGCCACTGCGCGTTCCCAGCAGTAATTAACAAATCCAATTTTAATCGACAGCTCAATCCGTGCAGTTACGCGGAGTACTCGCCGGCAGAATCTCTTGATAACGCGCAATCGTTATGCCACCTACTTAGCAAGAGACAGACGACCATTCCCTTATCATTTTATTTTGATTATACTAGTTGTTATTAATACATAAGAATAAATGAGCCGAATCGACCGAACGAAATGAATCGACGGTGATTCGCTCGTTCGCTGTAAAAGAAGCCTTCCATCCAAAGTGTTCGAACCATCGATTGCCACCCACCCACCCCCTGGTGTTACAATGAAAAATTCCTAATAACGCTTCGATTCGCTCGAATAAAAACGACAGTATTTGCATTTCCATCAAATTCGCTTAATTCTAAAACCGAAAGGGATACGCACTTGTACAATAGGCGAAAAAAGGTATCTGTATACCGAGTGTCGTTTAACAACTTGGTGGAAAATTTAGCAGGATTTTATTTAAAAACATGATAATTCGTTTAAACAGTAAGTATAAGTACAGAACTATCATTCTTATTGTTAGTACACGATACATTAATTTCGTTAACATAAAAATTCTTAGCAACTGTAACTAGATGCACTCCTGCTAAAAGGAACAAAAATATAATCCGATCTCATTACTAAGGGCACCCTGCTTTTAATCAATATATATATATATATATATATATATATATATCTCTTTTTATCCTTTTGACTCATTCTAGACAAACAAAATCATAATACATCGCTTTTGTAACATTTTTTTTTATTTTCTATTCAGATTATTTGTAATTTGATGTTGTGAATTGTTATTTAAGTGTCTTGCGACCGAATATTAACGCCAGTTTCGTGAAAATCTGCCGAAAGAAAATACTTGGAAAATTTCAAAAAGTTCGACGGAAGGCGTTTTTGCATTGCTTGAATGCAGAAAAGTTTTTAGTTACCATACATTTTTTAGTTACCAGAAGCAACTTGTCTCATTTCTTCGAATTAAGAACTTGCCTACTGTGTAATATGTTTTGTATAATATGTTAATAAGACGTAAACTAATTTTTGAAAGTGTTAACAATATAATAATAATATTTTTATTGAGTAACAACCCTACAATTATCCTACACCTGATATTCTGCATTCGTCTCATTCTCTCAAAACTTAGTTTTTCGAAGGTTTCACTTCTAACACGTGTGATCTGCCCACATGATATTTTTTTTTTTTTTTTCACTGTAAAACGTACTACACCACTAACTGGGAAGAAACAATCGATACTCCACGGAGCATTTAATGCATGCGATCACGCGTGAAACGCGCTTCGTGGAACGCATAGTGTTACGAAGAGACGTAGCTTAGGGAGAGGGTAATACACGGTAACGCATGCACAGTTACCTTCGTACGCTACCTTTCTCCATTTGGAAATTTTTCTAACGGAAAAATTGTAAATACCATTAGAACGCGGTAATTGTTTGCGCACATCAAAACTCTCACAGCGGCACATCTTTAATCTAGGCACTTAACGAATATAAGCTTATTTAAAAAATTCGTCAAAATATTTTGTTTTATTGTTTACAGAGTGCATCGTCTCCGGGTGCCAGCAACGATGGCCTCACGAAACAACAGCTTGAACTTATTCAACAAATCATGCAACAAACGCAGCAGCAACAACAGCAACAACAACAGACGTCAGCGCAGCAGCAACAGCAACAGCAACAGCAACAGCAACAGCAACAACAGCAGCAACAACAGCAGCAACAACAGCAACAACAACAACAACAACAACAACAGCAACAGCAACAACAGCAACAGCAACAGCAACAGCAAAGAAATGGTTCGGCAATTGCACCGAGCACCACGCAAATCCAGAAAAGTCAAAAGCCGTCGATCAAATCAAACGCATCGCTCAGCAATCTATCGAATAATTCCGGAAGTTCTAACACGCCTAATAACGCGCGATCCAGTCCAAAGCCGAAAGCTTGGAACCACTCGCAGGTGAGTTTAGCTTGCTCATTATTTCTTATTTAGAGTAGCAACGATAAAGCCTCTTCGAATAGAGGACAAACTGCCGAGCTACGCCCTGCTCAAATCTTCCTCTATTACTGCTTTATTACTCCTCTACTCAATCTCGTTCTTTTTAATCGACACACATTTACCACTATCTCTACTTCAATTTTTACTTTGGTTTACGCGAAAATTACATTTGACAAATTTTTCTCTTATTTTGATTTCATAAGACTATATTATAAACATGAAGAACGGCTTGGTCAGATTTACAATAAATTGGCAAGCCGCTGTTGAATATTAAATGATCCAGTAAAAATTGTAGTAACGAAATATTTGTGAATAGAGATTTAAAGTGTATCGACTCTACTACTCTGCTTTCTTCTTTATTGGCGTTGTTGTTAGCGAATCAATGGATAAGATGTTTTATTTGAGGAAACCGGTGCGAGTACAATCCAATGAGAATATCTGGCGGCCATGTGGTGGAAAGTATATGTGGGAAGGCCAGATCAGTTCGCCTTAGATGAAAGAGGATCAGCTATCTTGACTCGAGCTGCAGTTCCTCCACACCGATTTAAGTAATGTAAATATTTAGTAAATGAACGAGACTATGTGAAAATTGAATATGACGAGGTCGCGTTTAGGAAAATTAAGGATACACCTTGTCATTTTGTTATTATTTCATGTCAACAAAGCTGTTCTTTTATCGATCGATTGGCCAATTATCCAAATATTGTCACGACGAAGACGGTCGCATAATGCTTACGTAATACTGACTTGTTGACACAAGAAATTTATCAAACGCGTCAGTCAACTCTCTAACGGTTTGACGAATGTATCGATCCAATAATTGTTACTGAGTATGCCATGTTCTAGCGATAAACTGTTTGCTCTCCATACAGACCTCCTACTCACGATGGACACTGCCTTGTGGATTTCATTAATTAAAGCATCAATTGGTCGTCGTTATTACGATGGGAAAGTCAAATCGACGAGGAACCGATGTTTTACAAATTCTACACAATTCTCTACAATTGTCCGAATCGTCGTGCAAGCAGTAAAATTCAATATTCGATCGTTACAGTGTTTGGTTTAGATGGAAAAATAAATTCTAGAAATAATATAATATACTCGTATATTTATATATGGATAGGATGAAAAGTTTCAAAATTTATGATGAAAACTTTTCAACTCATCGGAGAGTGATGGTAGGTAGGCTCCAAAATTTTCAGCACACCCATGTATTTCGTTTTGCTTTTTTTATTGACTTGCATTTTTCCATTCCTCTTTCTTCCAACTTTCAACTCGCTCACTCTTTATCCGTTCTCGGCACCTAACTTCATTACATTAATGGCATAATAACCATTGCGGCCGGTAGAAAAGCTTACGCGTCGAAACGTCGATGTCTCTAAACAGAGTAAAAAGCTTTGGCAGGCTAAAATCGATCGAATTCTCATTAATATGCATGAGATCTTGATCGATAGAAGAACGCGTTGAGAACAGAGTAAAGTGATAAGAGTAATGAAGGAAAGAAGAAAGAAAAAAGGAAAGGAAAGGAAAGGAAAGGAAGAGAAGAGTGTCGCGTCTGCTCGGCAAAATGCTTTTCAAGCAAACCTACGTCTTAATTACTTAGAAAAGCAACAACGAATAGGCCTTTAGAATGATCGATAATCAATTTCAAATAATAATTACGATTATTCATGATATGTGTTTTCCTAAAATTATACAATTTCTGAAACTAACACACTTACATGCAACATATACATACGTATGGAGAAACGAATAGTTAGCAACAAATAAGAATTATGAAATAATTATGAAATGAAATAATAAGCAAATACGAAGTAATTGAAACGTTTGAGTGTCGTTTGTACCATCCTAAACATATCCTAAGTTTATGTCGTAGCGGAAACCTGAACAGAACCGCTTATGAATCCAATCCTTTTATGCAACACGATGGATATGTTGCAAAATTGCTAACGCTCGCATCTGTTACTTTTCTCATTATTTAGCACATGCGGAGCTATATTTACCAGTCATGTCAATAAACACGATATTGCCTCTTTTTACCTCTCATTGTCCTTTTAATTAAAGCAGCATTTTATTAAGCATAGTTATCAACGAATTTATAGATATCGAATTTAAATATATCGTCGTGATATTCGAAAAAATGAAAAGAAAAAATAGAAAACGGCATCGGACTTGTTGAAGACAATATCATTGGAATAATAATAATCGTCTACATCTCCCTCGAAATCTCTCGCGGATAGTTACAAACTACCAGTTAGATCCTACCGGAGTGTTCTTAACTGTAACGAGCTTACCGCTAACAGTCGTTGCACAGTTATGGTATACGTTCCAATTTAATTAACACATTAGATACAATACTCCCAACTGAAAGCGCCAAACTACGCTAATGCATTTTCCATAGTCGGAAAAATATTCCCAGGAGCTTGCATCTTCTTTCATCATTGAATATAAATTAAAAAGGAATTTTCGCACTTTTGAGTAGAAACATTTAGGAAAAATGAACGAAGGAAATATATAACGTAAACTTAGCGAAAATCGAGAACAATATTCCAAAAAAGAACTCGGGCGAACGACGTTTTCCTCAAATTATTATATTAGAAAGAAAGTTAGAGAAAGAAAGAAAGAACGAGAGAGAGAGATAGAGAGAGAGAGAGAGAGAGAGAGAGAGAGAGAGAAAAAGTATAACGTAAAAGAAAAAACAAGGTAAGGGGGATAAAATGGAGAGATGGGAAGACAGGTCCTGAAAATCCTCAGGGGTACGATCGTAGATTTCCCGTATCTTCAACGTATCTTCCCACAGTAAGAACCGGACAGACCGGTGTCACGTCCGCCCTGTTAAACAGAAGAATTCCTCTCTCTTTCTCTCCCCTTTCTCCAAGACCCCCAGTGAATCGTAAGAGAAGACCCCCAGCAAGTCCACCGGCTCTACCGAGGACAAATCCAACGCGCGCGCTCCTGCGTTCTCGTATTCGATATTTTTTCTCTTCCTCTCTCTCTCTCTCTCTCTCTCTCTCTCTCTCCTTCTTTTCTTAAGTTTGCTCGACCAATGACAGACGCGATATCTCTCCCGATTCTTCCATAAACTTCCTTTTTCCTCGGCCAATGGTCGGCACACAGATATATATTCTTTTTGTCTCTCCTTCCTTGATGGCCTTGCCTGTTGTGTGCCACGACGATGGGCACGCGCGTCCTTTCACGCTCTTGCGAAGGAACTTGGTGTCCGCAGCTGCTGCCCGCGTTATTTTCTTTTCATCATTTTTTTCTTCCTTTTTTTCTTCCTTTTTCTCTATCTCTTTTTCGCATAGAATCGCGAACGTGATCAGAGTACGTTGAGGAAAGGAGACCTTTTAAAGCTCACCGCAAGAGCACGTGTATCCGTGCACTTCCTAGCTCCTCAGCATTAACGTGCCGATGGAGATTTAAATTTCAAGTCGAATGAAAAATGCAAATCCACGAGTTACTGGTTCGCTTGAACTCTTTTTTATTTCCGTTTCTCTTCCGCCATCCTTTTCGTTATTTTCTGGGTCATGGACAACCGTCGGAAGATAACTCGTTTTTCGATCTCCTCTTCTTTTTTAACTAATATTTTTTGGGGAAATGGATCTTTATTTTAACTTTCTCTAAATTAGTCCAATTACTCTTTCCTATAGGTATATTCATTGTAATGTATTAATATTAACGAACAAATTCCTCTTTACTATAAAGTAAACAATTGCCGAGCAAGCTATGTCGACGAGGAGGTGGTATTATAGGCGGGAAAATCGTTAACGGAAAATGTAATTGGAAAATACTCGACGCGCTTCGATCGATCTTTGTTTGCGATACATGCCAAGTGAAGGCAAGTTATTGCAAGAATTCTGATCTAGATACTACCCCGATGCTACTCTACGATCTTGTGTTTATCGTATAAACCTTTTTTTTTTTTTTTTTTTTCAAGAAAAAGAATAAGGTCCTCCTCCTCTTACCCATAATCTTATTTTCCTGGTGAGCGCCGAGCCAACGAAAAAATCAAAAGAATCGAATCACCCCATTCCATTGATTCTGTTCTTCAATACACACATATATAAGTGCGAAGTAATATACAAAGTAATCCAAGGGACCAATTACCCTTATCTTTGCTTGTTCAAAGCAAACGGGAAGGAAGAAAGAAACTAATCGGTAAGCTACTTATTCCTAAGTATGCTGAGGAACAAAAGAAAAACGGAAACCTCTATTCTACGGTTCTATAAATTTGAATAATTAATTATGTGTAAATTAAAGAAAAACATTAGAAGAAATGGATTTTTTAATGAAATATAGGTACGTTCAAGTTTTGTTGATATATTTTATTTTCTTGTCATTACCAATGAAATACAATAGATTAAATATTAATAATAGCAAAAAGTCGGATTAAAAATGCGAATCGTTATATCACTTGTTATTATTTCTTTTTGTTTTAGTTTCTATTTATAGAAAAATATATTAGCAAGATAACTCAATATTCCTGGCCACGCGCGATGAGAACGGAATTCTTAATTGTCCCCGAGTATATATGTATATTGCGCGAAGCGAGATACATCAATTCGAAAAATAAAAAACGCAGACGAATTGATTCGCGAGAGTACGCGAGAATACGCGAGAGTTAAATGGAAAGCGAGCATTGATGAATATAGACGAAGAAAGAAAGAATGAGATTAGCTCGGAATACTGCCCAATGGAAAATGCATATTCATTTAAAAGTGAAACTCACAGGTCAGATAAAAACGTACTATTAATGCATCAAAAGAGTCAATACAGAGAAACCATTATATGCGTTCTTGTTTAGCTTTCCGTTCGCGTGCGTATGCATTTACTGTGTTTCGGTATTTTTCCAAAAATATTGAAGCCTTTCGTAAGCTTTGTATAAGTCGTTCTGATGAAACACGATTGAAAGAAGAACAAAATGGACAGCATAAAGGTTAACACAATTCTTCTTCTACCTG